CCCTCATTTCCTCTCTGCCCACTCCCAGGTTCCCAGCTGGTTGGTGGACACCTGCCCCAGATACTCTCCAAGAACTCCCCCCAAATATGTCCACATCCAAACTCAGGACTTTTCTCCCTCCCAGACCACCTCCTCCTTTCTCAACTGGTCCTCCAGTCATCAGCTCTGCCTTTCTCCTCTCCCTCATCCGCCACAGGCATCACCTGGTCCCTCCCCACCTGCTGCTCCCAACGCCATTACCCTGGTTCTCCTTCCCAAAGTGCTGAGCACAGAGCCCTGGAGAGCACAAGCTGAGTGACTGCAAGAATGAATTCCTGGGGCCGGCCCAAGGGTGCAGCGGTTAAGTGCGCACGTTCCACTTTGGCAGCCTGGGGTTCACTGGTTTGGATCTCAGGTGTGGACATGGCACCGCTTGTCAAGCCACGCTGTGGCAGGCATCCCACATATCAAGTGGAGGAGGATGGGCGCGGATGTTGGCTCAGGGCCGGCCTTCTCAGCAAGAAGAGGAGGATTGGCGGGAGACGTTAGCTCAGGGCTGATCTTCCTCAAGAAAAAAAAAAAAAAAAAGAATCCCTGTCTGTCTTAACCTTGCACTCCTTCAGCACTTCTTTATTGCGCGGTACAAACCAGACACTGTTCATAGCAGCTGGGATACAGCAGTGAACAAGAGGGACAGACCCCTGCCCTTGAGGGGCGTGCATCCTAGTAGGGAACAGTAACCACAACCCAAACACACAGTGCATCACAAAAAGGACAGGCAGTGCAAAGACAGGTCGTGCTGAAGTAGGGGTGCTATTTTATACAAGGTTGCCTCGGAGGCCCCTCCTCCCTACAGAGAACGGCATGGGTGCACTGGGCTGAGGTCAATCACCAAGGTCAAATGGAACATAACTCATCCAAGAAGATACACTCTTTCAGTTTTAGTAATAAAAATCCAGGGACTGTTTCTTAATCCTTTAAAATGGAAACACTTGTTGCTACCAGGCATGGGGAGCTCCGTGGTTTCCAGGAACAGGGTGGGAGTCCGGCTGAACAGCCTTTTGTTATCTTCAAGTTTGAACTACATGAAAGTGTTCCCTTTTTAAAACATTAATTCATTGAAATAGGAAAGAATTTAAAGTCTTTTGGAAATGATTAATCATTTTCATGGAACTATTTCCCTAAAGGGGACCTATCTGCATATCTGCCAGCTGTGGCCAGAACGCAGCAGATGCAGAACCCCCAGTGCTTGAGAGGGCAAAGCCTCAACCTCGAGGACAGCCATTCAGCAACCTGTGAGCACTGACGACACGCAGGTGTCCAAGTGGACGAGGAGACCAGGCTAACAAGGGCCACAAAGGGAGAGGCACCTCGCGGTGGGAGCGAGAGGGAGACACGACTTGGGAGCTGAAGAGCAGGGCGTCTGCGAGGAGCCCACAGCCCCTGGGGTCTCTCCTCCCTCAGTGGCTCTCCACCTTGGCCATCGCTCTCACTCCTGATCTTTGTCTTCAGGCATCCATCACTCTGCATCCTATCTGGAAAGCCACGGACAGATGGCCACACTAAGGAGACCCCCTACTAAAGACTGGTCCACAAGACAGAACTGAGCCAGCAGCCTGGTTTTCTCCAGACTCCCCCGGTTTCTTTTCTGGTGAAGCTGGGGTCAGAGAGCACTTCACCAGGGTGGCCCCACGGAGGTGGAGGTGGTGGGGAGGGAGAGCTGGCTCTGTATGTGGCAGAGGCCTGAATAACAGGCACTTCAGAAGACTCGAGATATCCTGACCTGCTCCTCAACGTGACAAGCACAGGGCCGTGAACAGGCCTGGAAGGCAGGTGGTAAGTGGGTGCCGTATGGACTGAATGTGTCCCCCCAGATCTCTATGTTGACTCTAATACCCAGTGTGACCTTATTTGGAGGTGGGCCTTTGGGAGACGATTAGGTTGGATGAGTCCATGGGGGTGGAGCCTGCACTGCCTGAGAAGGCCAGGAAGAGCCCAGAGCTTTCTCTCTGCTCTGAGGACACAGCAAGAAGATGGCCCTCTGTGGTACAGGAAGCAGGTGCTCACTACATCTGGATCAGCCTGCAGGACTGTGAGAAATGCTGGCTGCTTAAGCCACCCAGTCCATGGTATTCTTAGGGCGGCAGGTTGAACTGAGGCAGGCTGTTTGGAGCACGGCCCAGCAGGCATGATGGCGTCAGCTGAGGGTGGGAAGTGGGGTATTGTCCCGTAAGCATCCCATGTAACACAAAGGCACTGACTCCAGTCTCCACAAGTTCAGGCTCCCAGTCAGACCCCGTCTGAGCATTGAGAGATCTCAGCACAGACAACAGCAGGAAGCAGAGCCTCGTTTCTCTCTCTCAATCTTCAGCGCCTAGAACTGAGCCCGGCAGTCACCAGGCACCTAGAAACGGCACAATGGAAGAACTTTAGATTTTACTTAGTGGCAGGGAGCACTGAAAACCCAGGATTCTGTACAACTTCAGGAAATCCTCAGTGTAACTATTTGGGCCAAGGAGGCCCAAATTCAAGCCCGGCCCCAATTTTTATAACTGACATGTCTCGGCAGCAATATCTGTATCCTCGTCCAAAGAAAGGCCAATGAGGATTTACTCTTACTTAAAAAAAAAAAACACAAAAAATCTTATGGCTTTGCTGATTGCAAGCAAGAAAGCTAGTTGGATTTGAGGCAACCTGAAGCAGTTAATGAACAAGTATTGTGGCTTGTCCAAGGGATTGAGTTTTCTGAATAACAAAGCAGACTGAGGTTGTAGGCTGTTTCCAGGGGCTGTGTGAGGGATGTCCTTGGGATCCCACTGTTGAAGTCTCCAGGACCAGTCAATGGTTTTTGGGAACCATTACTTTCTGGCAGGCAAAACATGTGAAGACCATCCCAGGAAAGCCAGGACATGCGGAAGTCCTGCATTAAACCACAAAACAAATAACTCAAGAAAAACGGCGTGGTTCTAGCTTTGTAACCCTCAACACAGCACTAGACACTCTGGGCGGCCACCTCCTCACAGCACCCTGGGGACGAGCAGAGCACCTCCTGATCACACTCTGTGGTGGTGTCACCCGCCACCTTAGAAACCGAGCCTGTTTCCACTAGAGCTTGTGAGGAGCTACTTCACCTCTTTGAGACTCAGTTTCCTAAGGGGTAAGAAAGAACATAAAATTGGGAGAAGCCATCTTGAGCAGGGAAAAATACAGACTTTGGAGACAGGCAGACAGGCAGTCTTAACTCTCAGCCCTGGGTGACCTAAAGCAGGTTACTTGACCTCGGAGTTTTACTTCCTTCGCCTGCAAAATGCAGATGAGAATGTCTGCTGTAAGGGCTGTGGAAGGACTGTGGTCATGCCACCTCTCAGTAGGGGCAAAATAAACATTGGCTTCCTTCCTTCGTTCCTGTTTCACATTCAGCAAATCTGAGAGAGAAGGATGTGAACATACTGAAATGTTTGTGGGGGAAAAAAAAATTAGGGGCCGGACTGGTGGCACAGTGCTTGGTTCGGCATGCTCCACTTTGGTGGCCTGGGGTTCGTGTGTTCAGATCCCGGGCGCAGACCTACACACTGCTCCTCAAGCCATGCTGTGGCAGTGACCCACAAACAAAATAGAGAAAGTCTGGCATGGATGTTCGTTCTGAGCTAATCTTCCTCAAGCAAAAAGAGGAAGATTGGCAACAGATGTTAGCTCAGGGCTAATCATCCTCACCAAAACAAAATAAGTTAAACCCTCAACAGAACGCTATCAGAAGTTTTTACATCAGATATATTCGCCCACATTTCCCTCTTTCAACATAAGAGGGCCCACCTGCTGACCAACACTGCCCATCTCTGAGGTTATCAGAGGGCACCTGAAAGAGTGAGGACAAGAGGCTGCAGGGAGCGATGGGCACCAAGCACAGGAAGCACTGTTCCAAGTGGGAAAATACGTGGTCCTGACACACGGTCCTGTTGGGCACCATCTCCAATGGGCTCTGCGACAGCATGAGGGAGGCCTGAGGAAACAGTCTGGGTCCCCGGCCCAGCAGGTAATGAGAAGTCCCCAGCCTGGGAGACTTGACTATGAAGGAGCAGTGAGCTCCCTAACCTCAAGGCAGCTCCACAGCAGAGCTGAGACCTGGCCTCCGAGGCAGCGCAGGAGCAGGAGGTCTGACTCCAGGAGCAGTTTCAGCTCTAACTTCACCACCGGAAGAAAGACTCTTATCACACGAAAACATTCACAGGCTTCCAAAGCCAGCTCTGGGAGAAGGTCCCCTCAGGGGAACAGGCCATGCCCATGAGCAGAGCTCAGGGAGGGACCCCCTCAAAGCAGGGAAAAGATGCTGCACCGTGACCAGTCTCACCAGCACGCTTCCCGGGTCCCCAGCCTTCCCCTGAGCCAGGTCTGGAACAGGTGGCCCGGCCCAGGCTGTCCTGCTCCAGAAGCAGCTCCAGGGGCAGTGGGTTCCCCGGACTGACAAGACTCATCATTCAGAACGTGGCCACAGACCTGTCTGCTCCTCGTGAGGAGAATGTATTTCAAACCTGGAGAGTCGGAATTCGGAGACGGTCCACGTGTTCTACAGACACAGGGCCTCTTCCCTGGGAGGGCTGGGGTGTGCTGGAGAGGTGGCCGTGCAGGGGCTCTCTCCCCGTTAGCAGAAAGGTGGTGCGCATGCCCCAGGGTTACAAGTTGGAGTGTCCTGCACAGAACGCCTGTGAGAGCAGACGTAGGACTAGGGCAGCGGGCACGTGTATTCTGCAGGAGGCGGTGATCAGAAAGCTTGGCTAACACAGAAGGATTCTGGGTATGATAACCCTACTAGAGCCAGGGGGCAACTCTGGTTCTCCTAAAATCCCGCCTGGTGTGCCACTCAGCACACCCCCAAATCTGAAGCATCAGCCCTTTTTGAGCTATGGCACCTCACCAGCAAAAGTAAATGCTACAGGAGCTCAGAAGCCTCGTGGTGCTAAGGATGAAGCCTCCAGTCAGAGAATGCCCTCGTGAGGGGGCTCTGGGAAGCAGATGGGCTCTCAATAGTCCCCAGCCCCTGGGAGTGGCTGCAGGCGGGAGGTAAAGGGTGTGAGTGGCTTGGGCACGCGGACCCCCCATTGAGGAAGCCAAGGACCCCACACATCGGCAACGGCCACGTGCATCAGAGACCGGCAAAGCTGCACATGTGAGAACCGAACACCGGCTGGCAGTGGACACAGGACTCCGGTCCCCATGCCGTGACAGCAAGGGTCTGGGCCCAAGGCCTGACTTCTGAGGCTGGGAGTGGGTGCCATGGCAGGACAGGCTTGGCTTTGCTGGTTTCAAGGACTCCAGTTCAGTCCAGTCTTTGACCCTCAGACGAACTGGGACAGGTTGGGGACTTTGATGTTGAGATCGCCGATGTTGATGTTCCGAGGGATCTCTGGCAGGTTGATGTTCTTCACAGCAGACACGGCCCGGGCGGGGGCTGCCGAGAGGCCACCCTGAGGAGAAATGAGAGGTGGGCATGAGACAACCCTGTGTCATCCGTTTAAGGCTTAAAAAACAAGTGAAGGGGCCTAGAAAACGTCCAAACTGAGCACACACAACATGAGTGCTGATTTTTCCTCCCTATTCCTCAAGGGCAGCCAGCAAAACGATCTTAGGTTAGATGGGGACCACGGTGTAAGACCCAAACTCTGTGCTCCGAAAGGCGGGGTTGCAGCTCATGCAGTTTTATCGCCCCAGCACCTAACAGTGCCCGGCACACAGTAGGTGCTGAAATAATCTGAGATGGTTTAACCAAGTCCTGTCCACTATTGGGGCACTTTTCAGGTTACAAAACAAAATAAAATGAAACCCTTTCTCAAGAGACTGAAGACTCACAGACAAGCGCAGTCACAGGGAAATTCTTAAGAGGAAAAGGAATGTCACAGCTCAGGGCAAGTGCTTGCCAACTAATAATGTGCCTGGAAAGAGCTGGCTTTGGAAATGTCACGTGGCACAAGATGGGAAGAAAGACATGGAGGTGGAGGAGCCCAGAGACACGGAAGGACGGGAGACAAGCCCAGAGAGCCACCGGGACTCTGGTCAGCCCTCACCCTCCAGGCCCAGCCGTATGCAGAGAAGGGGAGAAGCTGACCAGGACGCTCTCAAAACCATTTCCTCTGCACTGACTGCTTTCGGGATACCACTCCAATTACCCCTCACCCAGCAAACGCCCACTCCTTCTGGTTTCCAAACCCCCTGCCTCTGACTCATTCACTATTCCTGGAAGCATCCCAGCCTGCATTTCTAAAGGAACGACAGTTGCCACAATAGCTGTGGTCTGGACAAGCTTCTTCAGCAGGCCTGCCAGCCCTCACAGCAAGAATTCCTGGTTTTGCAAGATCAAGTTCCTTTACACAAAGCAAGGCAGCTCTTTAAGACACCCAGGTAATTAAAGAGGTAATCTGCTCGCCTGTTTCTGCCACATGTGAAGGAGTATCCTGTAACCTCTGCTCCCCGAGCAGGCGGACAAGGCAATGGAGAGCCCTCAGGGGGACAGGACAGAACCTACTGTGAGCATCTGGACCAAGCCCCGCACCAGGTTGGGGTGGATCGGGGCACGTTATCTTCAAACTCAGCCCAAACTCTACTGTAGCTTTTTATAAGCCCAACTGGAAATAAGGAAATTGCTAACTCTGAGTCTAAAAGACACCACGAGAAACGGCTGCTGGGAGACCAGACTCACACAGCACACAAACAAGGCAACCACACGGGAATCGGAGAGGAGGATTCTGGGTCCCTCCAGGGAACGTGTGGCTGTGCGAGGAGGAATTACAACCACAAACATGGGCAATGACCCCCAAGCCAGAAGCTGTTTGCCTTCCGTGCCGTCTGGCTTTCCTTTCACACCTTTAGCCTCCTTCTTCCCCGTTTAATTCTCAGGACGGGCTTTCCAATAGATGAGGTTTGATGGACTCAAGGAAGACAGAAGATGAGTAGGAAACGCTCCTATGGCCCCACAGCGACACAAACCAACATGCGGATCCACTGCTCCTCCCCCAGGTCTTCTCTAACTGCCAGGGCAACAGCGCAGCTGCGCACTCACCTCGGATTTCTCCAGCCTGTTCTGAGCTTCCATCTGAGCCACGATTTCATTCATGTTGGTTTCCAACACCATCCCACCCATCACCACCTCCTGGAGGATGTAGTGTACCTAAACAGGACGCAAAAACAAGGAGGTTAGAGCACTGGGTGGTAGGCAGGGGGTGGCCCCAAAGGAAACCTCGTGGCTGTCCTGTGGCGGCAGAGTGTCAGACTGGCACAGCTCCTGCTTCACAACACACACCTTGAGCCCCCTGACGTGAACTGCTCAAGTGAGACCACAGGGTCTCCCCATGTCCCCGTGCATCATGACATGAATCCCACCGAGAAGTACTGGAGACGCCTGGCTATATAGTCAGGAGGGTGAGGTGGTGGCTGAGAGCACAGCCTCCGGAGGCAGACAGACCTCGTGTAAATGTCAGCTCAGCTCTCTCTCAGGTGGCTGACCTCGGGCAAACGATCCGTCCAGGGCTTCAGCTTCCATCAGGACTGAGGTGAGGACGGAATGAGATGACCTGTGTCGAGCACCTAGCCTGCTGCTTGGCACACAGTGGGTTCTAAAGAAACACCGATGTCCTTCACTACTAATACCATCACCATCAACACCGACTGGCACTAAGTGGGTCCAGTTATGGATGAACCTTGAGGACACTATGCTGAGTGAAAGAGCCAGACACAAAGGACAAATATGGTACGATTTCACTTCTATGAGGCACCTATGGTCAAAACCATAGAGGCAGAAGGAGAATGGCGGTTGCCGAGGACTGAGGGGAGGGGGAATCGGGAGTGGTTGTTTAATGGGGATAGAGTTTCAGTTTTGCAAGATGAAAAGAGTTCTGGGAACAGGTTGCCCAAAAAGTGTGAATGTACTTAACACTACTGAGTCGTGAACTTAAAAATGAAGACGGCAAACTTTAAGTTACGTAAATTTTACGACAATTAAAAACATAGGTCTCTACACCAGTACTGTCAGTATTCGTTCCCTCTGTTTAACAAAGCCCTTCTTCCTGGGGGAAGTCGCACTTGCTGAGCATCCACTATGTGCTCAGCACGTGAGACGTAACTTATTTTAATTTTACAGCATCCATCTGAGGCAGGTAATGCTATCTCCACCTTATATATAAAGAAACCGACACTTGGCAAAGTCACCAGACTATCCCAGTGTCACGTATATGAGCAGCAGAGCTGAGCACTGAAGCTGGAGGTCAGACTCCAGAGCTCACGTTCCACCCCTTCCACCAAACCACCTCAAAATCCCAAACTGTCTTCCCCTCCGTTCATCGCTCACCCCCGGGCCTGTGGAGTCATGTGTCAGACTCGCCTTTGTGTGTGAAGATCTTGTATGAATCCCCCCACGCTTTCTCCCCAAGGCCTGGAACAACGCCCAGTGCAGAGGGGGCATGCTCAATGAATGAAAGGCGTTGCGTACGTCTGCGGAGCACACGCCTTGGGCTTCAGGTGCTCGGAGCCGGATGACAGTGAGGTGGTGGAGGCTGTATGGAGAAGGTGTAGGCAAGGCTTAACACACGACATCACGGGGACCAGCGGTTGGTTAAAAGAAAACATCAGTGAAGACTTGTGATTTGAACACTGCATCAGGAAGTCAGAATTTTAAAATGCTATTTAAATGTACTCTAAGCGCAAAAAGGAGAAATAAATAAAAGCACAAACTCCATTTTCAACAAAACTAGAAGATAACCAGAATCCCAGGCCCCAAAACAGGTGGAAAAGCTGCCAAGAGCAGGGAGCCCAAGCAAGGGCTCTTCCTGTTAGAGAAGGGAAAGAAGGACGCTATGGAAAGAGCACACAGGGGCGGGAGAGCTCAGACAGACCTGTAAGAACATGCTTCCTGGGGGTGAAGGACACACCCTCTGGGACCAAAGGGACTGCTTGTTTCGGGAAGGCAGGAACTGCCTTGGACCTGGAGCTGGGGCTAAATGAGAAAGCACACAAACAAGGGGTATGCGCCTCATAGTCGGTCTCTGTGGCCGTCTCTGCATTGTGGAAAAGCTCGCAGATGCTTACCCTTCATGGCCGGATAGAAATAACGGGGAAATGCACTCACCCAGGACCCCAAATCATGAGAACTGCAGCCAGCCTGGAACACAGACTCGGGTCCTCCCCTAAACAAGCATCCTGCAAACAGCTGGTGCCTGAAAAACCTATCTATTTAAAGTTGAGTTATAAACACGAAATCGGCTGAGGATCCATATAAAGACACAACAAGGAAAAATTAGGAAAGAAACAGGAACACCAAACGGTAGGCTAAGACTACACACTGGAAGAATGCTGCCAGGGAGCAGGTGAAATAAAATTAAATATTTTGCAAAATCAAAGAAAGAAAACTATGAAGCAAGAGGCCAAAGCAAAAGTGCAAGAGCTTACGAGAGAAGCAGGGAAGACACATACCAGCACAGCTCAGGAAAAAACAGAGAGAAATGAAGAGGAAACTGGAAGGAGCGAAAGGCAGAAGAGGCGCTGCTGAAAACACAGTAAGGAACAAAAAGGAGAGAAACGGAAAAAGCAAGTAAAATGAAATGAAAAAGAGTTAAAAGGAACAGAGAGAAAATGAGAGTACAGAAGACAGCAAAGGAGACGGAACATACGCATAAAAAAAACGAACATGGAATGGAGCAAATATGTAAAGATTAGTCCATAAAGATTACATAAAGATGTAACTCAAGATGTTTCTTGAAACAAAACAGGATTTAGCTATGAAAGGGCACTCTGCAGCTCACGGAACACCCACCCAGATGAGTCAGTGCCGAGACAGATGTGAAGGCAGATGTCGGGATTTCTGCAACCAGGCAAAAAGATCAAGTCACTCAAGAGAGGGACGAAATCTCGAAAATTTCCACAGTAAAATTCATTGCTAGCAGAAAAAGGAGCAACACGCACAAAATTCCCAAGGAGAGAGAGCGTGACCCAAGAATTTTATACCCGGTTAACTGTCAATCAAGAGTACCGGGAAATATTGTTCCCATGAGTCTTTCTTGAGGAATCTACAAAAGGAAACACTTCTGCCAACGAAGGAGTGACTGGAAAAACTATGGCAGAAAGACTGGTAGTGAGCATGGAGTCTACTTGATGGTAGGACTAAGACTAAAATGGGATTAAAGGGACAACAGAAAGTCGGTGCTGTGTGCTTTGACAAGGTAGAAAAGCTGCAGCTGGCAACGAGGAGGACAAGGGAGGAAGAAGGTGGGAGGTAGAATAAGAACACCGAGTTCCTCATCCGCCATAACTGAGAGCCGATGGATAGCATCTAAAACCAACAACTCACGGAATAAAGACACAGTTATTAGGACTTACATTGTGACTTTTGTGCCAACGTCCAAGCCCACAATCATCTGCCACAAGCAATACTTCGAGAGCCACCAAACTTCTGACTTAAGACCAAAGAGCTCTTTCCTGCTGACTGGAGTTCTATGTCAACTTTTCTTGCATAAAATTCTCCCATAAAGCATCCTCTGCGATCTCCAGCTTCTCTAAGGTACAGGGAGATCTCAGACTCCTGTGAAGCAGGAAGCACAGAATCATTCTAGAAGTTTAGGCTCCCTCCACCTCTAGTCTTCTATAGTATCTTGCCCAAACCTGATTCAATTTCATTTTCTTTTTTTCAGTAAACTTGCCTTTCCAAAGTATTCACAGAACAGTTCTCTTTTCTCACTCATGGTTCATCAGTATATTATTAATTAAGTTACATAATTATAATACCAGTAACTGGCATCAACAGGTCTGAACACATCACAACTGACCTTCGGTCAGCATAGTCACTCATGTGGTGTCAATGAGCAAAGGATGAGCAACTAGGGATCAGCTTACCAGCTGCCATGTCAAGCTGACAAGTCAGCAAAGACTCTTCCACTGAACATGAAGTAGACCATGAAAGATGCATATCATTTTCCCAGTGGAGACAGAGGGTACCTGAGAAAGCTGGAGGTTGGGCAGCCAAGAATCAATACTAAACTCATGTACCTAAAATACTAGAGACACAGTCAGATCACAAAGAATGGTTTTGTTAAATGACAGGAGTTGCCCGATGGACTGATCTTGAGGATGCAGCAGAAATGTAGGTAAATACCTTAGAGAACACTGAGAGTTAAAGAACCAAACCGCCAAATGGAGGCGGGGGAAAGGAAATCTGAGTCATGTTGGTGCCAATAAAAACCATGAGAACAGAAGAAAGCAAAGACGTAAAGGTCCTCAAGAGCCCTAAACCCAGCCTAAGACAGCGTGCAATGAACAAATATGAATTATCAAGTAATGATAATTCACAGCTTTCTGCTAGGTCAGCAACCATCTAAAATAATGAAATAGCAAAATTCATTCAGCAGTGTTTGTTAAAAGAGTTCAAACAAAAGCGTTACTGATTTCTTAGCTCCTGGCAAATCTAATGGTGATTTGACCCAGGAACATCGCAACCAGGAAGAGTTTCATTTGAACATAAGAATTAAGATAACGCCAATAAACCAAAAGGTTATCTCGATGTAAGAAGGAGGAAACTGAGAAAATACTTTGCGTGATGAATCTGAAATCTCAACAGGGAAACGGCTGGGTGTAAATCAATGCTTTTCAAGACCAGGATACATATATTTATGGCCACACTTTAAAGAATGAAAGTTGGTGTTTATAATTTTGTGCTATTTAAATTTTTCTTTTAAAACTCCTCAAAACAGTCAAAAGTAGGAATGATTACCTAAAGCAAAACACCTATTCCTCTGAAGGCAACCTAACCTGCTAGCAAGCCTCTATTCTTTCCTCTCAACACCTCTGGACATCTGTCTTCCTTTCCTTTTCTTTCTTAGGAAGCTGTCACATCGTCCTCCCTCCCAGAAAGGTACTTGCTTGTATAACTGGATCCACTGGGCATCCAGTCTGGCCCCACTATTCTTTTCTGTCCATATAAGTTAACTGACACCCTTCAAATCTCATTCCCTGAGGCTGTATGAATGTCCTGATCAGGATGGGGACCTGTACCTTTGTGCCCTGGGCTGCCCCAGGTAGTTTCTCCCTGACCCAGTGTACTAACAGACGAACAGCAACAACAAATCTGGTGCACGCTGAGGATTCAACAGGGCTGAGGTACAGCTCCGGGACTCCTGGAAGGCG